GTCAACAGGCGCTTCAAAATCCAAAATATTTTTTAAAACAGGCGCTTTTTCAAGTCGTTTTGAAACTCTTCTGCCATCGTCTTGTCTGTCTTACTTCACTCTTCTTTGTCAGCTTCTCCTCACAGGATAAATGAAATCTGATCTGTGATGCGACTGTCATTCGGCACGCTGCATTGAGCAGCCGCAGTCAGTTTTAATTTTAGTAAACTAATGATTTTTATTACTATAAAAAATCAAAACGACGTTGGGCAAGTGACATAACCGGTGTTGCGGCTTCCCACCGCTAAAACGGTCAACACCTTCTATTAGCAGCAACACGAATTTCGTGTCCTGTCAATCACTGCGTGAAATATAAAATTGAGCACGCACCATTACAAAGGGCGGAACTGAGCGGAGCAGATGGGGCGATTGTCTCCTGAGAACAATTGGCGGTAAATACATATTAAACTTTAAATAAGTATGAAATATATCAGTGTTATTTTTCCATTTTATTTTTCACGATTTATTTTCGTTTGGACATGTTCATATGTTGGTGTTTTGATATAGCCTATTTTTAAAATATATGCTGTAAAAGGTTATATGGTACGATGGTATTTTAGGTTATTTAAATTTAATTCGGCATCAGTTGCTTGAATTCAATTCAGGCAACAACAAAATACAACGTAGAACATATTATGCCTAATATAAATAAATAACAAATAACTTACACAAAGTTTAGGTAGCTTATACAAAACTAAAGATCAGTAAACACTGTGGAACCAAATAAATAAGAAACACTACGTTTATAAGCAAAACAAATAAGAAAGATTGGAAACATGGCATACTTGATGTAGAATTATATATATATATATATATATATATATATAGTTTAAATACATTTAAATCAGCAAACACTGTGGAACCAAATAAATAAGAAATGAATGTTTAAAAAAACTTCCAGTCAATAGGCTTTTCAAAATCTAAAATATTGCCAAACAGGCGCCTTTGCATTTCCTTTCGAAACAATCTTCTGCCATCGTCTTGTCTTTCTCACCTCACTCTTGTCAGTCAGCTCAACTCACTGTCCTCACGTCATAAATAAAATCTGACTCCTGCTCCGTGGTGCACTGTCGTTCGTGCACGGTTCGGCACACTGCATTGAGCGTTTAGTTTTTTAAAGTATCTGTCCTCTAACTGAACTTTTTTAAAGTATCTGTCCTCTAACTGAACTAGGCTAAATTATTTTTGTTACTATAAAAAAATCTAAACTACGGTGGGGGGTGGAGCCGCGGTAGGCAAATGACATAACCGGTTTTGTGGCT